GACAGTCTGACTTTAAAGTCAATGCATTTAACCCCTAAAATATATGTGTGTGTGTGTGTGTGTGTGTGTGTGTGTGTGTGTGTGTGTGTGAGAGAGAGAGAGAGAGAGGTTGTGCACCTGCATGTGCACACACGCACTCATGTGTGTGTATTACAAATATATATTATTTTTAACTTAAAAAAAAGAAAGAAAGCAATTGTTTCTTCTTAAATCCATCCTAAGACTGGGAGCAGTGATTCATACCTATAATTCCAGCACTCTGGGAGGCCAAAGTGGGAGGATTGCCGAGCCCAGGTGTTTGAGACCAGCCTGAGCAACATGGTGTGACCACATCTCCACAAAAATAATTAAAAATTAGCCAGGCTTCTATAGTCTCAGCTGCTTGGAAGACTGAAGTGGGATGATCCCCTGAACCTAGGAGATGGAGGCTGCAGTGAACTGCGTGATCATGCTACTACACTCGAGCTTGGGCAACAGAATGAGACTTCACCCAACTAACAAATTCTAAGCAAAACCTGGCCACTAACAAAGACTGTCTTCAGTCCTCTTCCATCACCCCTTTGCCTTTGGGAACTTTTTTATTTAAAAAAAAAAAAATCTCTGGCTGGGCGTGGTGGCTCAGCCTGTAATCCCAGGACTTTGGTAGACCAAGGAGAGAGGATTGCCTGAGTCTGGAGGATCAAGACCAGCCTGGGCAACTTGGTGAGACCTCATCTCTACAATAAATCACAAAAAACAAGCTGGGCATGGTGGCATGCATCTGTAGTTCCAACTACTTGGAAGGCTGAGGTAGAAGGATAGCCTAAGCCCAGCAAGTTGAGGCTATGGTGGCTGTGAGCATGCCCCTAGCCTCCAGTCTGGGCAACAAGAGTGAGACTCCAACTAAAAAAAAAAAAAAATTAAAAATCCCTGAAAGACCAAGGTTCTCCCGTGCATATACCCAACCCAGACAAGCTGCTTAGGACTTCAAACCCCAGCTTTGTTATGAATTTCCTTTGAACAGAAGTTTTTCCCTCTCTCTCCCATTCAGACGGAGCTGTCCACTTTAGAATCATGCATTTTTCTTGACAAGTTGGTAACTATAAAATAATGGGGTAATTGTTTTCCTTAGATAAAGGAAAAGATGGAGAATATGGAGAAAGGAATGCTATTGTTCCCATTCCCATAGAAATACTTAACATTTGTATTGTTTTAAAACCCCCTAGGAGCTTTCAGTTACTGCTGCTCATTTAGTTCAGACTTCCTGATAACACTGGTGGTTTCCATTTTTAGTTTATAAATGAGAAAGCTAAGGTTCTGTGAGGATACCTAATTTATCCACATTCTCAATGCTAAGAGTATCGGCGCTGATTATCTTTTTCTCAAACCTCAGCAACCTCCGTTATATAAACTTCCTTGACCAGAAATTGCTATATGTCTTAACAATGAAACCTTGGCTAGAATAATGAAAATTAATCATCACTGCTGGAAAAATAAAGATTAAGGGTTCCAGAAATACAGAGTGGACAGAAGGGAATCAGTTACACGGTACTGTTTGCATACACAGTGGTATATTTCAGTTATAACACTCTAAATGTCCTTTTAACCACAGTTTCACTTTGTGTTTGACAGAATCTTTTAGTATATGCCAACTACTAAAAAATATTTATTCCTCAACTCTGTTTTTCCTTAATATTTAGCTCCTCTGTTGTTTTATTCAAAAATAAAAAATTGTTATAGCTGACTACTGATTTGGGTGATATGTTTGGTAATATTGTTATGACACGAATACCTTTATATGTAAAACTTGTATTACTAAAAGATAAAAGTTTTAAAGGCAGAGAAGAATCTTTTTTTTTTTGAGTTGGAGTCTCACTCTGTCGCCCAGACTGGAGTGCAGTGGCTGCTCCCGGCCACCGCAGCCTCGACCTGCTGGGCTCCGGCGATCCTTCTGCCTCAGCCTTCCGAGTAGCCGGAATTACAGGCATGCGCTACCATGCCCGGCTGATTTTTTTATTTATTGTAGAGATGAGGTCTCGCCTGCCCAGGCGGGTCTCAAACCTGTGGGCTCAGGCAATCCACTCACCTCAGCCTCCCAAAGGCGCGGGATTACAGGCTGAGCCACTGAGCCCAGCTGAAGAATATTATAAAAACAAAATTTGTGTCCATAACACATTGCAGAGAGTTTGTTGATTTAAGAAATGCAAACACAGAAAGTGTTTAGAAGTCTGACCATAAAATGATGCAAGTCCAATCTTTGTTCCTGCAATAAACTTGAGTCAAAAGAGCAAACAAAGATATCTCATAAGTTTTCTCAACTGTAAATTCCCTGAGAAGGTTTTTATATCTAAATGAGAAGTTTCTGAAGTTGGATATTTTCACTGACACTTTATTTCCACCACCTTGGTCCCCCAAATTCATTCTGAACAAGTTGTTGAGCAGTATTAGGAAATCTAAGCAGTTTTAATTGACAAAATCTGATGAGGTGTATTTTAAAGTGTAGCAACTGGAACATCTGTGAAATAAGTTAAATTGACGTAGTGAGATTAAGTCCTGGAGTTTAGACCTAAAAGGAATCTGAGGGTATGTTTTAGGGATATTTATTTGCCAAAGATTGGGAAAGACTCCCTTCTCCTTGCTTGGCTCCCTAGTAATGGATAGATTAACTTTATAAAACACAAAAGGTTTAGAACTTGGGAAAGCAAAAGTCATTAAGAACAGTTTTCAACAGTATCCCCTATTTCCAAGGTAATGTTAAGTAATAATTGGGCAGTGTCTATACTGGTCTGTTATCACTCTCCCAGTGAGATTTCTTTCCATGCTCTATTTCACATATTCCAGGAGTAAACAACCCCTATCACTCCTTTCTGCCCTTAATCTCTCAACTCCCACTCAATTGTTTTACTATGTATACTTATATCAAAATATTATGCTGTGCACCTTAACTACATATGTTTTTAAGTATTTTTAAAAGGAAGGGTCATAATGATTGTGTGCACATCCTGCTTGCTATATCTTCTTTCATAGGATGATCTGCCTCCCTCATTTATATCCAAAATAATTCATAGTAATGACACCTGACTGTAACTTGTCCTTTCAAATTTGAGGCACTGAGAGGCAAGCATCTTCTACTTTCCAGTAAAAGTATTACAAATACGTGAGCAACTCTCAATTCTTATAACATAGATCAGGATGTGAAAGGTACAGACCACCTCATGTATTCATTCTCTCTCCTTGTATAGATTCTCTCTTCTTATATAGCTTATGTGATTTATTTATTTGGCACTCAATGGCCCAAATTTTGTAGAAGTCAAGTGCTTTGAGATGCCATTTGTCAAAACCACCTTCTTTCCTAAAGAAAGAAGGATTGGTACAAGGCAAATGGTTTAAAAGCATATTCACCTACAAGTCTGGATTGTCCAAAGATCCATCAAGTACAGTTTCCAAACTGATGTTGGAATTACCTTTACAGCATTCTCCACAGATATTTGGATTATTGAGCCTCCACTTGAACTCCTGAATTAGTGGTCCAGGAAGATAGGAATGTTCATTACATTTTAAAGTGTCTGTTCACATTCTTGGGGCAGTCTCTTTACATCGAACCATTAGCTCTTCTGCTATATCATTTCTCCAGTTGTCTTAACTTTGTTTCAGGAGTTAGTCAAGAGAACAGCCTGTCTTTATTTCCACTTGCATATATTGTGATTTGCACTCTATTATTTTTCTGTATAGTTTCTTTATAGGGCCTTTTGTAAAACTCTACATTCTCAGGAAGTGGTGTCAACATTGAGGCTGTCTCACGTATCGGCTACTAGAGTCATATTAACTTTAAATGAAACAGAATTACTTCTGCAACTGCAGAGACCAAGATGAAAATTAAGTTTCATTCTTGAAGCAAATCCATTTACACACACCATCCTGGTGTCTATCATTGCTCTGATTTCATGGTCTGTGGCCTGGTGTGTGGCTTCCAAAATTTTATATTGCTGTTGGGAGCTCATCCTTAAAGATATTTAGCTTTCTTACTTTCATGTTTTGTATAAAACCTTGGCTACCCACGAGGCTCCCCATTTATCCCAATATCTCCTCATTTGGCAGTTTAGGTATTTCAAAATGACATGATATGCATAGTATTAAAGATGACCTATGGAAAATCTTAGTTGAAATTTATTTGATACACCATTGCCTCACTCCTCATAGGTTCTGATTGTGAATAAAAAAATATATAAAAACTCCAATAGCCGGGCTCGGTGGCTCAGACTGTAATCCCGCGCCTTTGGAAGGCTGAGGTGAGTGGATTGCCTGAGCCCGCGGGTTCGAGACCCGCCTGGGCAGCAAGACCTCATCTCTACAATAAACAAAAAAAAAATCAGCCGGGCGTGGTAGCACATGCCTGTAATTTCAGCTACTTGGAAGGCTGAGGCGGAAGGATCGCCAGAGCCCAGCAGGTCTAGGCTGCGGTGGCTGGGAGCGGCCACTGCACTCCAGTCTGGGCGACAGAGTGAGACTCCAACTCAAAAAAAACTCCAGTCATGGGCAATTGTTTTCCTTTAAATTGACATTTGAGTATCACCAACTAAGATCAGAGGATTATTATTTTTAATAATAGTAAGAAAATTGGAGGCATTTCGCTTACTCTTTAAAATTCTGCCCTTGAAAGCAAATATGTCCAGAAGTTCAAAACTGTGTTTTTGCACACTCTACCTCTAGGCTGAGGACCTGCTTTATATTCTAAGATACTAGCAATGAGATATTTTAAAGAAGACATGACAATTGAGTGTCTTTTAACTCAGTTGAGTTAAAAGCAGTTAGAAGCCATTTAGTCTTGCCTACCCTCTTGTTCATAGTTTTGTGGGATCCTGACCTAATCGGAAACTCCCATGTATTACTCCCTAAGAATAATCATGAACATATCCATGCCTTTTTCCCTGGTAACAATAATTATACAGTGGCATTATTTGTAATGAAGGAAAAAGAAACCTCAGCGGAATGCCTCACCTGTGTGTGTTTTTATTTAACAGAAAAGCTGACTCCACAGGCTGAGTGTCACGTAGCTGAAGCCCTAACCCCAGAGGAAGAACATCAGATGAAGAGGATGATGGCAAAGCGGGCAAAAATCATCAAGGAGCTGATACAGACGGAAAAGGATTATCTCAACGACCTAGAGCTGTGTGTTAGAGAAGTGGTTCAACCTCTGAGAAAGAAACAGGTAAACGCAAATTTGAGCTTGTTCTTATATTTGTCAATTCTCTATCTCCCGTATCCCAAATAGGATCACTAGCACCATGAAACTGAAGCATCCAGGTGTATCAGTTGGGTGATGTGTTTTTCTCCCAGAAACAGTGCCTACTGCTGGCATTGTTCTCAGCTCTGTGGTAACAATTTAGTACAAAACAGAGTCCTGTCCTTGTGGTGTTCACTTTCTATTGCAAGAAAGAAAGAGTCAGACAATAAGCAATACATACAGAAGCAAATAAAATGAAAACATATCAGACAATGTTAAGTATAGCTGAGAAAACTAAAACAGGCAAAAGGAATGGAGTGTGGGGACAAACAGGTGGTTGTTCTATTTCAGAGCAGGACATTTCTTTTCTTTTCTTTTTAAGTAGGAGTCTTACTCTGTCACCCAGGCTGGAATGCAGTGGCATGCTCACAGTCACCGCAGCCTCTACCGGCTGGGCTCAAGTGATCCTTCCAACTCAGCCTTCCAAGTAGCTGTACTACAGACATGCATCACCATGACCAGCTAATTTTTTTATTTATTGTAGAGACGAGGTCTAGCCAAGTTGCCCAGGCTGGTCTCAAACCTCTAGACTCAGGCAATCCTCTTGCCTCAGCCTCCCAAAGTGCTAGGATTACAGGCATGAACCACCGTGTCTAGTAAGAGTTTTCTAATGGGGGACACTCGAGCAGAAAAATAAAGGAAGTGACAGAATGTTCCAGGCAGAGCAGAGTACAAGGGCAGACTCTAAGGAGTGATAATCTCATCATTAGGGTCCTCATACACAATCCAAACAATCTAGAAAAATAGAAATTAGAAAGTGAAATTATCAGAAATTTCACTAATCAAGAAAAATCACCATTAACATGACTGGAATCATCCCTTCAGACATCTATTTGAACACTTACATATACACATGCATACACAAACACATATGTTTTCACATAAATGTGATTGAAAACTATAATACTATGTTGTAACATACTTGTTTCATTCAGCAGTCTGTTATATGTATCTTTTCATGATACATATGTTTATCTACTATGTTTTTCTATTATTACTGATGCTGAAGTGCACTTACGTTTTGGGTGTCTGTCCCTTTGTCTCCTTATAATGAATTCCTAGAAGTGGAAGTACTAGGTCAAATCATATTTAAGATTTTGATAAAAATTGTCAACTGCCAGCCAGAAAACTGATATTGTTCTAATATTCATTCTTATTAATAATTTTTGGGAGAACATTTTTCTTTGCATTTTCTTCAGTGCTCAGTGTTGTTGATTTCATAAATATTCTTTTGACCCCTTCTGACAAAAATCTTCTTAAATATTTGTTAGCCTTTTCTATTCTTTTCAGTTTCTATTAATATCCATGTCTTATTTAAGAATTATGGAGTTTTTTTCTTATTATCTTATAAGACCTTTTTATATGTCAAGGATATTTTTTTCCATTCCATATGTTGTAGATAACATATGTTGTTTGTCTTTATGTTGTTTGTCTTTTACCTTCTAACCTTGTTAGGTTACCTTCTAACCTTGTTTAAAATATATGTTCATTCATTTTCACCCTGTTTAAGCAATAAACTATATCCATCTTCATTGATTCTGGGGTTGGTGTCTTAATATGCATCCCATAATTATTAAAATATTACTAGCCTATTGTTCCAATACCAATTATTAAATTTTACCTCTGGTATTTACAACATTCAGAAACAGAGTTTATGTTTCTTAATTCAGTGTTCTTCTTAGAAATATTATACAAACCATCTGGTCTACAAATTAGGAAAAATCAGTACACGTCAAAGGACTTTTGATACAAAAGAGTGGCAAAGCTAGCTTGGAAGTCTTTCTTTATAGGAAGTTGTCCTTAATTTTACTCTCTCATGACTTTTTATTGAGCACTTATTATGTGCCCGGTCTTGTTTCAACCACTTTGTTAGTATTTTCATGTAATCCTCTTTAATTTCCCACATGTTTAGATTACCAGAAACTTTCTGAAAACCAGAACATTTTTTATTAATTCTGTAAGAGTAGAAGCAATATTTGTGGCCATGATAAAAATTTGTTCTTTAGTGTCACTGCTAAGTATGTAAATGTTTTTTGGTGTATTTTCTTTCATTTTATATAAACTAGCTATATCTGACATAAACCCTATTCTGGCAGATATCAATGGTTGTTAAAAACACGTTCATTTACATACTTATTTAAATATCTATTTTAAATGAACATGGCACCAGCCTCTACTACTACTTACCCTTCTTTAGGTATTGACAGGCGTCTGACCTGTCAACTCCTATTATCTGAAAAATTTACAACCTAGCCCCTGTCTTTATGTCTTCTCTCTTCCTCCCTCCCACCCCTTCTCCCTCCCTCCC